TTGTGTGGACAGACCACATCTTGCTCAGCCATTCACCAGTTGATGGACACTTGGGTTTCCCCTTTTTGGCCATTGTGAATAATGTTACTACAAACATTCACATACAGGCCTTTGTGGGGACACATGTTTTCATTTTTGGGGGTGATATCTAGGAGTGGAGTAGAATTTCTGGGTCATATGGTAGATTTATATGTAACTTTTTTTTTTGAGGTATACTTGACATACAATGTTATGTTGGTTTCAGATGTATAACAGTGATTTGACATTTGTATACATTGCAAAATGGTCACCACAATAAGCCTAGTTCCCATCTGTCACCTCACAAAGTTAATACGGTATTATTGACTATATTCCCCATGCTGTACATTACATACCCGCAGGTTACTTATTTTATAACTGGAAGTTTGTACTTCTTCATCCCCTTCACCCACCCCCACCTCCCTTCTGGCAACCACCAATCTGTATCTGTGAGCCTGGGTTTTGGTTGATTTGTTTGTTCGTCTTGTTTTTTATATATTTAACTGTTTAAGAAACAGCCAGACTACTTTTCAAAGTGACTCTACCATTCTACATTCCCACCAGCAATTCATGAAGGTTCCCCTTTCTACCATTGTGCCAACATACCCAGGGGCTGTGGGAGCACACAAGTCCTGAACCCTTTACAGGAGGAGAAGACAAGGAAGATTTTCTATGAGAGGTGACATCTAAGTTGAACCTTGAAAGAGTTTGCATGTTAGGAAAAGGAATTAGCCAAGGGAAGCATCTGGAAAGAGTAAGTCCAGTTAAAGGGGACAGCTCATGAGCATGGTGGCAAGAAATAGCCCGTGATGGCTGGTGTTGATGTATAAAGAGTGAGACGGAGCAGGGGAGATGTGTAGAGATGGGCCTTTGTGACGTGTGGAGGCCTTCGAATCCCTGCCTTCAGCATTAGGGAGCCCTGCAGTTTTTTGGGCTGGGAGTGATGGAATAAGATTTGTATTTTAGGGTGACCGGGTGGCTCAGTTGGTTAGAGC